ATTGTCGGTGAACTAAGTTGTCGGTGAAGTGATTGTCAGTGAAATGAGCACCACCCGTTTCTCACATATCTAATACAATAACTATCATTATAAGCTCGTCAAACTGTCTTCTAATGTTTAAAATTTTGTGTATATTGGCATATCAGAAGCTAAAATTTCTAAAAGCCTACATCCATAATCACTATAATGAGGTCTTTTCTTTTTATATAGCAAGTTTACCACTAGGAGTTTTAATTACTCTGATTCTATTAAATCTGGTATTATAGCTTAAGCAATACCTATATGTTAAACATTGTGCTATTGTGAATTATATTAATTAGGCTATACAAACTAAATAAATTGGTTCTCATAATATAAAATTTTTGAAAGTGACCTGGCAACCTGGCTTTTAATTTTATTTTATATATAAAAAATATATAAAATTTTTTATAAATTTTTTAGAAAAACCTATCTAGATAGTAAATATATTTAAAATTTTTTTAAAGTTTTGTAAAATTTAATCTGGCCAAGTTATAAGAACTAATTTATTAAGTTTGTATAGCCTTATATTGCTGAAAATTTCATATAAATTGTAGTAAATAAAAAATATTTATTTGTGAAAGCCGAATATATTTTTATTATAAATTGAGCTACAACAATTACAAATTAAAGTTAGCAGATAAACTATTAGTTTGTTTTGATTTTTTGTGTTTTTTTGCATAATATCTGATTTTAAAATCGATTTGGTCTAGAAAATTTTTTAGAGTAGTGATACTAGAATAGTTTTTTATAATACTTCAGATGATTTGGTTAATAGACAAATCGCAAGTCACCTAAACAAATATATATATATATATATATTTTTTTTTATACCTTCGCAATATCGTGAAAGGATGGATTTTTATTAGGTATTATAGTAGTACATTCTTAGTTAGCGAGAGTACATATAGCTACACATGCAACTTTTGGTCGCCTAATTTAAGTAGTCCACCTGAAGGTTCTACACTATATGCCATACCTGTAACCTAACTAGGAGATTACCTATTTAAACCCTCTGATATCCCTGGTCCTGCACCATTACCACAATTACACCAATTTATAACCTCGTGCTGCTTCTTATTAAAGACCACTCAGATCGACATCTGCTATACTATTTATATCCTAATTCTATAGATAACCCAGTAGGGTTCTCATACTACTGAGTTGCTCTAGGAGGGTGTAGTATATACCTCCCTAATCTTTTTATATCCCACACACTTCCAGATTAGGCTACGAATACCTTTCGCAGCAGCCGAGACCACCACTAGCAGTCAGAGCGAATCATTAAACTGCACAATTTCAGTATCCGGTGTCTTTGCAAGATTCATTCTGATCCTGATATCCACATCAAGCTGGTCTTTATACTGATCCCTCCCCAACTACCAAACCAGTTAGCCCAGATGGGTCATTGTACCTAGGCTTTAAGTGCCTTCTGGTTTACTTTCTTTGGTTCCTAATTCTATAGTATAGGATCTTTTTCTCCAGTACAACTCCAGCGGTCAGGTTGGTGGACCCTTTTTGCATCAGGGTTTTCATCCGGTTCTTCAGTCTCCAGTTTCTGACTTTTCTGCAATACTATCAAAGATCTTTACTACCTCTTTACTTAGGTCTTGCCAAACAGGTTTCAATTATTCCAGTTTCTTGGATTTGGATCGTCTAAGAGCCTTTATTTCAAGATGATAGTACCAAGATTACAGGTAATATATCTAACCGATTGTCGAATAATTGTTATCAGTACACAGGCCTATTTTTCTAAAAATGTCTTCAGTAGGATTCGAACTCTAGACCTGCCGTTTGGGGGGTGACAACTTAACCACTACTCTAAGTCACTACACCCTTTTTTTAAAATTTTAAAATTTTTGAATTTTTTTAATTTTTATTTATTTTGTTATACAAGATTCTGTAATTTAATTAATTAATTATATTAATTTATAATATAATAACCTACAATATTTAACAATATTTATTTATTTTTTTTTTTGGTATTAAGGTAACCTCTTGATCGTTTCCTTTTATTCGATTATTGTTAATTTTACAGTATAGTATACCAAACTGTACACATATTTGGAGAGTACAACTAATCACATATGCAACTTTTGGTTGCTTATTTAAGTAAACACCTAAAGGTTCTACACTAGCTGCCGTACCTATAATCCTACTGAGTTACCCATTTAAACCCTCTGCGTTTATATACATTAATCATCTAACCGAGCGAGGATACGTAGTACTCCCTTATTTTTGGATATTCAACTTAGAACTTTAAAGCAGGCTCTTATTGAACCCTTTATCTTCAAGGTAAATCTGCTAGAGCCTTCTGTACCCACAAATCTGGCTAACCTAGACTTTCAATAACTTACGCCAAGTCCGAGAACAAGTACTTGTGAGCTGAAGTCACTACTATTACCTACTACTACCTTTATAGAGTTCACGCAAACCCCAGTACCCACTATACAAACTATCTCTCATAGACCTGTTATCCTAAACTTCTAATTCAAATGGCCTAGAAGAGCTGTAACCTGTTCTTGGTTTTCACAATTGAGTTTTTTTCCTTCAGTTACTCTCTGGTAGCCAGGTTGGTAGAGTGCCTTGCCAAACACTTCAGTCCTGTTCAGTTTTCCAGTTTCCTGGTTAATAATCCTTTATGTAATATCATTGAAGATCTGTGCTACCTCTCTACTTGGGTTTTGCCAAGTGAGCTCCCATGTGCGCTGACTCTGGATTTACACAACCACTTTACTTGGGTTTTGTGTACCTCATACATTACACTATTGTTTCACAACCTCTCAATATAGGTTGGTATGACCAGATTACAAATGTCAATCCTTCTGTTTACATTCACAGTCTGCTGTAACACGTTCTGAAATTCAAATTTTTTGCCATTGGTGGGATTTGAACTCTGATCGCCACCACTTGGAGGTGCGACAACTTCACCACTACACTAAGTCGCCACATCCTAACAATATTTATTATAGCCTCACCTTTGAAAATTAAAAAATAAAATAAAAAACAATATTTATTATATTTTTTAAAAAAATACTTGAAGATAATTTATTATCAGAGAAGTTAACAAAATTATATTGTAAGTTATAGAGAAATATAGTTGAATAATTGAAATTAAATAGTTATGAAATACAAAAAACTAGGTGAAAACATAGATGAATATAAAATACTTTAATAAATTTAGATTGCAGATAATAGTTTAAGCTAATACAATAATTTTGTAATACAATACATAGTAATATAGCAATACATGTAATATATACTAATTATTGTTAATACTGTATTAAAAAAAAAAATCTAAGTAATTATAACTGACTATTTGTTAACTATTAAAAAACTTTTGTATATAGTTAAAACTTTAGTTAAAATAAAAATTTTTTCTTTTTAAAGTTTCCTCAAATAAATATATTGGGTCTTTGTCTTGAAAATCAAATATAAAACATATGATTTACTATATCTTATAACTTGATTTTTAAGGCAAAAATCCCATATAGTACAGTACTACTATAACTATAGTTTATTTGTTTTATTATTTATAATGCAAATTTTAGCTAGTAGTTAAAAGATAAGTAAAATTCTAACGTTATTACTTTGAAAAGATAGTTTATTAAAACATCTTACTTTAATAGAATTAAAAAGTGCTGAATATTACGGGAGAAATTAAAAGTGAAGTAAAGTCTTTTTTTTTATAATCGTTTGATATAAAGTGCAAATCCCGAAAATTTTATTTTATTAATGATTTCACTGACCTGTAAATCTATTGATTGTGTACACCCAAATCAATTATGTAAAATCGATAACCTGATTAGTTTCAAGTATTTTACAGTACTGCAGGGTTTAATGTTACGTACGCACGTACACATATTGGTTTACCATATGACCTATCACAAAAAAAAAATTCAAAAGTAAATCTTAAAATATACCCGGGCTATACATAGGCCCTTAATCTATTGACGCTGAATAAATAATTTTGTTTTAAAATAGCTATCATGTGCTAACTAAAATTGAGGAACGGGATAAAGAGTCTATACTCCGGGTACATGATAAATTTGTCGAATTCCAAAATGCAGACGAAGCTATGGATGTATAAATTATAACCACGTGGTTATAATAAAAATGCGCCTATTGAACGATCATTTCTTTATTTATTTAGGCAATGTTTACTAATGATGATAAAGTTCAGATTCTTCTCAAAAGAAAAAAAAATTGAAAAATGGACACGTTAATATGTAAAGATAACTTGCTATCATCGTCAATATCGACGGCCACAACCTCTGATAGGACATTATTTTCGTCAAATGGATCTGATAGTTTTGAAGGACCAGAGAAATTACTTGAAATTTGGTTTGAGCCATCACCAAATTATATAGTTAAAGGCAATTCATCGACGAACATTGGATTACGCTCTGTTGAGAGAAAAATATGGGATGATATGTTAAATATTGTTAAGTGTAAAATATTAAACATGATTGAAAATGACCATGTGGATGCTTATTTATTAAGGTGAGAATTATGGTATTTATAATAAAAAATTTTAAAATTAATGAAGTTGAAAGTGGCAAGCATCTATCAACATAATATAGCGAGTCTTCAATGTTTGTATATCAACACAAAATTATTCTGAAAACATGTGGAACAACAACTCTCCTCGTAGCTATACCTCGTCTTTTGGAAATCGCATCCGAGTATTGTCAGTTTCATAGGGTTTGGAGAGTATTTTATTCTCGAAAGAGCTTTATGTTTCCTGAACGGCAATTACACCCGCATAATGATTGGAAAGACGAGGTTGCTTACTTGGAACAACTTTTCGGTAAGGCATGAACAAAATACTTAATAAACGCTAATACTTTTGTCATCAAGTTAACACGTTCGATTTTATGAATATTTAAGATAATGGTAGTGCTTATACTGTTGGAAGGATCAATGGCGATCATTGGTTCTTGTATTTGACGTCACCACAAAATGACCAAAATGACATCATTTCCGATAACGAAAATTCATCACGATTACGTCATCGTGCGGCATCTTCAGGCCCAGAATATAGCGATAGTTCTTCCTTAGACGTTAATGTGGAAGATCAATGTGCAACCAACGACTTGAACTTGGACGATCAGACAGTCGAAGTACTAATGACTGAACTAAGTCCAAAAGCGATGAAAAAATTTTATTGTAACAATATGGATAATGATTCAGGAACCGAAGGTGGTGCACGAGTAGATAGAGAAACAGGTTTGAAAAATCTTTATCCCTCGGCAAAATTGGATTCTTTTCTATTTAAACCTTGTGGATATTCTGCGAATGGATTGCTTGAAGATAGCTATTTTACTATCCATGTTACTCCGGAACAGAGCTGCTCTTATGCGTCATTCGAAACTAACATCCCGTTAGCACATGGAACTATTTCCGAGATCATTCACCAAGTGATATCTATTTTTGAACCCGGTAAATTTAGTGTAACCGTTTTTAAGACTCAAGGATGTAACGTTGACAAAAAACATCTTGTCAATTCTTTGAGCAATGTTGCGGGCTATGTTCGTAAAGACAGGATTCTTTACGACTTTGATGGTTATGATTTGGTTTTTGGACATTTCGAAAAACGGGTCATGTGATAAATGACACTTCTAAAAAAACTCTACCTTTCACACATTTGGCAAGGATTCGTGATAGAAAGTTAATAGAACTTTCAGTTGATTAATTATTTACTATTACCATTTGTTATATATTATCTAATTTTTTAGATATGTTGAAAATTAAATATGTTACCTCTAAAATTATCTCATACGAAAGTTATTTTGGCATTTGACTATTTTCATCTTTAACATTAAATCCAACTATACCCTTATTAACTAATTCGAAATATGGATTAGGATCTTGGTTCTCGTATCTTTGTGACATTAAAGTGAGCTTTACTGGTATACTTGCGTGCAGATATTTTAATAAAAATTATACTGCCAAAAAAAAAAACAAGGATATTTTTATTAAATATTTTTTTTTTAATCAAATTATTTTGTCTTTCTAGTTATTATCGTGCAGTAGAAAATTAAAATTTTTGCTTTTAAAATGAAATTTCTTAGTTTATACTAGGGATTCCCGACAAACAAAATCCCAACAAGAATTGACCGGAACTAACACAAACCCTAACCTAATGCGGGCCAACTTTCGGGAAAATGATAGGATTCCTTACACCAGCACATGAAACATGGATATAATTTGGGTGCTGCAAAGTGAAAACCAGGAAGTCTAAAGATAGGCTACGTGTGATCAAAAACAGTATACAAAATTAATAAACTGTTTCTCATAACCCGACCGGGTCAAATTTTGCAAAACAAATTTTTTTGACTATATTATCTATCTCTACAAAAAAAATTATATATATTTTTTTAAGGCCGGGCTGCTGGGTATTTTTAAAACTTCATGTTATGAAATAAAAATTAATTTTGTATGGCCTTATAGTTAGACCAGTTAAAAGCCCGCATTTTGTTATGTAAAGATTTTATTTTTTAGATTTTCAGATTTTACTTGGCGGCACCCATTTTAATATTTTAATATAAAATTTAAAAACAAACAATTAAAATTAGAGTTTAAAATTTGGGTAAAGTATAATTATATTAAAATTTATAAAAAATTTTATTAAAATTTTAAAAAGTTTTATAAATAAAATTTTAAATATTATAATAAGTTTGTATTTTATTGTATTTATATATAATAGAAATTGTCTTATTAAATTTATTTTTTAAAAACTAATTTTATAAAATTATATAAAAAAATTTAATAAAAATAAAAATATAGGATTTATATTTATATCTGGTAAGTATGATACCTAATATAAGAAAAAGATTAAAAATTATTGTGTAAAATCGGATACTGAAAATTGAGGTCTCTTTTTAAATTTAGAAGCTCACATATAATAGATAGAATTTACCTGTACTCGATTTAGTATATTCTTAAACTAAATTATCTATTAATTTTTAAAATTAACTATATATTTTATTAAATATTTTTTTTATAATATTTTAACTTCTGAGGTACTTATTTTAGAAAACTCATTGCTTTATATAGTTTTTTTAATTTTTATACATTTTTTTTAAATTTGTAATTGCTTGATTAACCTAATTTTTAGTGCATTTTAGCACATTTACTAGTAATTTTACAAAATATTTTTGATTATAAAAAATTTTTTTACTAAATAAATTTATTTAAACTATTAATAAAGTTATAAATATAAGTTTGCTGATTTTAATTAAATATATAAGAAGTAATCTAAATTTAAAATTTTTTAAAATTTTTGCTAGTAATTACTATAACAAATGGGCTAGGTGCTATAGAAAAGAGAAAATTAACAAATTTATTAAAATTAATTTTTTTATATAAATTAATTTAGAATAAGATCAAGATCATTTTTCACTTAAGACACAA